GGCTCCTAACCCTTCTTTTAGACCCATGTGTGTTCTTCCATATAAAAAACAATTTTAGCCACGAATTCTGCTAAATCAGTATAGCAAAAGTCCCCCACCCCCACAATCACTGCGGACATCTGATCAGGTTCCTTCTTCCCCCTCCCCACCCTCACGCCTGTGATGTCTGATCATGCAGGCTTGTCTTCAGCAAGAGTTGTTAGGTTTAGTGAGTCTCCCTGGTCTTGATGTTACTCTTAGTAATTTTATATCCACTGACTACTCCCCTTCCCTTAACATGAATTCTTACTTACCCATGCTGTATTCAGAGTTGAGCCCAGTGTCTCTCCCTCACTGCAGAATCCCATTGCTGTGGTTCCTATACTTATCACAATGGTCCTGAATAAAGTCTTCCTTATTATGATTTAATAAATATCATTGAGTAATTTTTTTTCTTTAATGACATACAGCTATTTGGGCTAATGCTGGGTTATAGCTGTCCAAGAAGTAAAAAGTTGAACCTCATAGTGAATTGCAACCAGCTGAATGTGTCAAAGGAGCTGTTAGTTCTTTGTGGTGGTAAAAGGAAGGTTACACACTGGATTAAAAGGTTGTTATGATGAACAACTGTGTTTTCAACTACAAGGAATCCTGGATAATGGTCAATCCAAATGATGTGAGTGTAATATAGAACCAACAACTTATCAATTACCAAAAAAAAAAAAAAAAAAAGAAAACTAGAGCGGACTTAATCAGTGTTCTTTGAAAATTTTTTCTTTTTGTACTAAAATCAGTGTTCAGAAAAACATGATGCATTATTTGTTGGGAGATAAGAATATGGGAATCATCAGGCTTGGTGGCGCATGGCATCTATAATCCCAGCGATTCAGGGGTCTGAAGCAGGAAGATCACAAGTTCAAGGCCAGCCTGGGCAGTTTAGTGAGATCCTGCCTCAAAAATAGGTTGGGGGTGCAGCTCAGAGGTAGAGTACTCCTGGGTTCAGCCCCCAGTACCACAAACAAAAAGGAAATCATGGGCATGGGTTTCTTTTTGAAGGAAGACAACTTTGGAAATGCATATATACACATGGTTGGAGAGTTTTGGTTAGTATTGATTACAGAAGATGGACTGGCAGAAGAACTATTTCAAGACTAGTTAGTAGAAATAGAACCATGATACATCAGTTAAGTTCAGGAGATTAGTAGAGTTTAGTAAGACACTGGAGAACAGATAAAGAAGATGCTGCTGCAAAATACTGTCAACATTGTGAAGCCCAGAAGGCCCAGAACAGGGTTGGGGTTTGTCCAGATGGAGCTGAGGGCATCACTGAGGCCAAAAAAGTTTCCATTACAGGCACCCATCAATTAGGTAATGAATAAGGAGAAAACTCAACACGTAGTTGAAGCAGATGGTGACTTGAGGTCAATCCCTAGTCTAATTAGCTTCCACTTCTGGTAAACATCTAAAGTGGATTTTGGAAAATGTGTGCACCAAGGACAAAGAATTGGATCACTAAGGCCAAGAACTTGCATTATTCACCAAAGAACTGTACTGAATGTTTGTGTTCCTACAAATTCCTGGGGACCAGAAACTTGATATATTTCCCAGTACAGAACCTGATCTGCTCCCCAACTCTTCCATTGCATGTTTTGGCCCCATGAAAACAGTCTGCTTCGACAGCTTTCCCTTCCTAGCCAACATTATCCTGGCCTTCTGGGTGCCTCTGGTGCTTGGTCAGGCCCCACTTCCTGTAGATGTTACCTGTATGATGGAACAGATCTTAAGCGATGGGTGCTATAGATGTTAGCAAAGAGGAAAGGGCAGTGCCTTCAGGCCCAGGAAACCAGCTCCTCTTCCTCCTTCCTCTGTTGTTGGCTCCCTCCATGTGCTAGGGAATCAACAACCTCCAAGCAAACTCAGCACTTGAGTATCTCCACATGGAGGTCTTAGCTTTTGCTTTCTTTTCCATATACTACCCCTCAACCCCTTCTCCTGCCCTAATCCCACCCCACTCCACGTGCTTCAGACCACTCAGAAGCTTCATTTTAGGTAACTCCAAATATTTCTGGGACCTCTAACAACACTTTGCATAAACAGGGCACCGAATTTGTTGCTATTATTGTTTTAAATAGACTTTGTACTTTAGAGCAGTTCTAGGTTCACAGCAAAATCAAACATGAAATAGAATCTGCAAATACCACCCCACTATGATCTCAACTAACTCCTCTCACCAGATTGGTAATTTGTTATAATAGATGAACCTACATTGACACATCATTATCACCCAAAGTCTAGGGTTTATAACAATACTCCTAGCGTTGCACGTTATATGAGTCTGGGTCAATTTATAATGTTTTTATATATGCCATTATGGCATCATACAGAGCAATTTCACTGCCCTAAAAATCCACATTTAACTTTAAATCTTTAAATCCTCCCATTTAACCCTCCCTCCTCCCCCACGCTTGGCAAACACTGGTCTTCTTTTGTCTCGGTTATTTTTTACTTTTTCAGAATGTCA